AAATGCATTTCTCATGGCTTGCGTCCTGGACTTGCTCTCTGTCGGTGCTCTCCCTCTGAGTGCGTGCAGTAGCTGCAAGGGAGGCATGGGGGACAGCCTTCAGTCACCCGTAAGGATCTAGTTCTCAAGTGACAAGCATCGCCATGGGCTCCTCAACTGCATAATCCAGGTCCTGTAGCACCACACAGTACCTCACCGTCCCCCGCCACACAGCTGGGAAGGGGCTAGACACACGCAAGCTCTGGGTGCCCAGGAGTCAACCGATGTCCTCATACTCCTGGTAGTCTGAAGGGCTAAAGAGACCGTATTTTTCATCTTAATCCCTAAGAAAAAAACCCTCTCCTTTTCTAGGCCAACATGAGCACTTGCTTGTAATATTTGTGACATTGATGCTTTATGCATAACTTTTTCTTCCAAAGACCATAATAACAACCTTTGGGAGAGATGCTGCTGAGGCCACCTGATGTTGTGCTACTGACACCGTCCCCTGGCACACTGCTCGGTGTCCAGGCTCCCTGCAGAACTCTCCAGCAAGTGCTGGCAGCTCTTGTCACCTTCCCGTCACGAATCAGGCCCACGCTGAAGTGGATGGGCATGAGACATGAGAAACCTGACAGCAGCCTTTGACGCCAGCCTGAGCTAGGAATGAAACACTTGTTTTAACTTGCAAACACGCAACATCCACCCCAAGCTTTCCTACCCCATCGCAGAAACAAGGAATGGGAAGGGGCTCCCAGAGTACACGCAGGCAGGTCCTGACTGCTTTGTGAATGATTCATAAGGAACACTGTAAACTGAAAGTAAATGCAACATGTTTTATTTGAGGTTGGAATAAATTACAACTGTAAAGCATAATTTATTGCTTTATAAACTGTCTGCTCTTAAAAGGCATTAATATCAAACATAAACAAAACAAAGACACATTGAATTAGCAGTTCAGTTCTCTTAAGCTTCATGAACAGCTCAGTAGGGGGATTTCATTCCATATACAACTGAAATCTCTGATCACAGGCTCGTAAACTTGACTTTGACATGCATTCAGACATATTGAAGGGACTGTAGATGGGTTCATTTGCTTTAGGATATAATTTTTATTGCAATTTTCCCTGAAATATCCCATTGAATACCCAGTCCTTCATTCCTCAAATACAAATGCCACTGGTTTCAAAAAACTCTGTTGAAGTATGTGTGGGGTTTTCTACCCCTGCAGAAGGAGGGCTTCCAAGTCTAAACCAGGAATGAGTCTGGTCCCAAAACTAAGTGAAAAACAAACCCCTCCTACGTTAAAATACTGAAATCCCATGCACAAAAAATGTGTCCTCCCATTCTGAAGATCTGAAGAAATATCCCAGCATTATCTGAACAAACTGATGTGGATAATTCATATTTTTATTGTACAATTACTCCATGCCTGAGACTGGTATGAATTTTGCTCAGCACCTGTACTCCTCTAGGATTTAGACCCAGCCTGCCCTGAGGGGGATGCCTATCGTGGGGGATGAGAGGGTGCTCACAGGAGGCTAGGTGCACTGCGCACTTCACACTATCCAGCCCTGAACGCATAGATGCTGTGACACACCAAGCTGGATCTGGCTAGCTTCCACTAGATATGACAGGCAGAAGGAAGGCCAAAAAGTCACTTCCTCAGCCTCCCGGGGAGTCACGGCTCCTGAACACCAGAAAGGGAATGAACATTGATGAGCAGCTCTCATTGCACCACGAAAAAGGATTCCACCATGGCATCCTACCCTGCTCTGACCCTTTCGCACTGCAAGGGCCAAGTGCTCCCTGTGCCTCGGCTCCAGAACAGCATCTCCCTGAGCTATGCCCTGAGCAGGGAGCGTGCACCTCTGCTCCTGCTTTCCAGCTGGGTCCGAAGCAGCACAAAATGAGCTGGCTTATGCCCTGCATTACACCAGAGGTAAAACTCTCCAGAAACAGAACTGGAGAATCCTGTCTCAATTAGCCCTTGGAACAACTCAGAAAGTTTGCAGAGAAAATCTCCAGGGCAGCTTTTCTTCCAGCCACAAAACTAACTTTAAAAATAATGAGCCACCGGTACAGAAAATCCTTGTAAAACTGGCTCAGTATTACTCAGAAAGTTCCTATTTAGAGAAGGGTTTCTTCTCATACCAGCCTCTAATGTTCTTGTCATGCCTACAAGAATGTAAGTAGCTGAGTGAGATGCTAGGATATTTTATGCTATAGTACTGAATGGGAATGGTTAAGTCTAGTACTGGATCCAAGAAATATATATCAAACTTCAAGGAAAATACTATTACATTGATCCTGGTGCAATTTCAGTTTTCATTAAAATTTCATCAGTAATGTATGTATCTTTTGTATGGTTTTTGCATAATCTCATTTAAAAAAACATCAAACAAACTTAAACACAGTTTCCTCAGATGTGTTTCTGTTGTGCCGTGAGGGATGGCCACCTTCGATCTCTGCAAGGCGATACAGCAGATTTCAGGTGCTGCACTTGCCCATAATGGCTCCCAACAAGTCAAGCGCCATGGAAGAGCTTTGGTGGGAGGCTGGGAGCGTGCAGGGCCGTACCTGGAGCTGTGCCGAATTGGGCCAATGGTTCAGCACTTCCCAGTGCCCTCCTCATTCAGGGACTGGACAACCCTGGTTTGGCTCCCAGCCACATGGTAAAGTGCTTAATGGAGGGTTGGGGAGCACTAATGCCCCTTCCTCCACCTCAGCTCCTGCCTTGGGAGAGGCTTGTGGAAAGGTGGCTTTGCATCTGCTTTGCACTGCAGCTGGGACAAGGGCATGCATATGGTGCGTGCCTGATTCATCACCATCTTAGAGAAACATAACTCAGAAATGTGCAAGCCTTTAAAATCATCAGTCATCTCATTTATGCTCACTGAGAACAGATTCTTGGCTGACTTCTTTTTTTCCTTAGGAGTTCTGAATTTTTCTTTGAAGATGAGAAGGAGGAAAGCTAGCCTTCAGGGAGAGGGACAAGCAGAGACACTTGCAAATTAAAATGCATGCACATGTCATCCACCACAGCAGTGACCTCCAGTCTGTACTTTACAACACAACATCCTAGTATCTTGAACCTTAATTTCTCATCCCTTTCAAAGGTTCCCAAGAGCATTCCTTTCTGTGTCAGTGAGATGTCCTAGGGGACTCTACAAAGAAAACTAATGAGAGGAACAAACTGTTGTCACCAGGACAAGTTACAGGGTTACATTCAAGCCACAGACTCTGGAGGAGCAGGACAGGGAGCAGACTTATTCCATTTTCTGGTGCAAGTGCCATACCAAGCAGCAAGACAAGCACACAGTGAGAAGGAAGATGGGCTAATGGTTAGTGTACTGGACTGGGATTTGGCAGATGGAGTTAATTCACCTTCCCCTTGTTCTTGAAGCGATCAGAAAAAGGAAACAGTTCATATTAACTTCAGGGTGCTCAAAAATTCCCAGCTCAGCAAATACCCCCAAAAGATTTCTCCTCTCTTAATAGTTCTTAACAGCTTATGCATTGCCCCTCTCAGACTAAGCACACCAGACAGAAATCTTCTAAGAAATCAAACTTCTTCTAGGAAAAAAAGAACCAACAAGCTTCAGAATTGCTACATCTCGGCTAAGGCTCATTTACTCATCCGCAAAGCCTCTCACACCTCCTGATCTTCACTCCTGAGCTGCCCATTTGCCGTGCACTTGCAGTCAGAGAGAGCAAATCAGGAGCTACTAAATCTATTCACATCTTTATTTCTAATTCACCGGGTTTTGCCTCTGGCAAGGCACTCAGGCCAGCACTGTCTTAGAGGTTTCTGTTTAAAGCACCTTCTGACTGACTGGGGACCAGGTTCCTACTGAACTGAAAAGCAGATGGGACAATCAGTGAGTGCACCGGAAAGCAAAGCTGTTAACTGGTGCATTTGCTCACGGGGAGGGCAGTGTTCAGCCACTCTACCAAAATATGGCAAGCATATTAATTAGTGGTTACAAAATGCTCTAAATTTTCACAGACCTTCATAAGTGCTGAACATTTTAATTGGCAGGTCAGCCATGCCTGAGAATTCAGTGTATTGTTAGAAACTGACATTTTCCTCTCCTACAGTCCTTCCCGTCACAAAGTGTCTCATGGAACAAACAAGTGTCTATATTGTGATTTTACCAATGCAGGAACTGGGTCAAAGATGGACGCTGGCTGGATCAGACCCATGGAGCAGATGCATGACTTAGTCAAGCAAAAACTAAGTCACTTGATGCCAGGCCCAGTGCTCCATCCCCCCCACCAGCGGTTACCAAATAGGGGACATAAATAATCCCCCAAAGGTACTGACATATCACGAAGGGCAAAGAGCCTCTGAAGCTATGCATAATGGCATAAAGCACAAGTATATTACATATTTAGCTCTATCCCTCCTTCTCTGTCGCGAGGGCAGTGGGTTGCTCGGACAGTTGTCTTCTGGTCAGCCTATTATGTTATTTCCTACGGAAATGCAGGTAAAGGTGTGTATACGATTCAGTAGTAGAACAGGAGGTTGGTTTTACATGGGCTGAAAGAATGTTTCTTATACCCAAATGAGATTTTTGCATGCATCTGCATACTCACCCAGATGCTGCCTCTGCCGTGCTCCATGCCTGAGTTTCATGCTAGGTTTGCTCTGCGTAGCAGGCATATCATACGCACACAGCGACCCGGTACAAGAGCACATTCTGCAGGCCAAGTCTCAGGCAAAAATTCACCTACAAATCCTAAGTGTGTTGGTAGTTTTTTGCAGTGAATCGGGCTTTCACTAGGAATTAACATAAGCTGCAATGACTAATCTTATACTCTGTGCACTTGCTTATTTTCTTTTCACAGTTCAACCACTTCCTTCCTTAATACTAAAACACTAAAGTCTTACATAGCATTCAGAGCATTATTTTCTGCTGGCTCTGTTTCTCTATGCTCTAAGCCTCTATCACAATGCATGCAAAGGATAATGGCTGAATTTGTAATGCTTTTAACTAAAAAAATACTTTTAAAAACATAAAACATAAATTATTTATTCCTCTTTGTCCATTGTTTTAAGCACTGAGTCTTCTCCCAAGATTTTACACAGTTCATTCAGTCTCTGCTGCATTTTAGGAATTCCTGCAAGTTGGGATTCCAGTCTCTGTTTTTCCTCACTCAGTGATAAACGGATAGCGGTGTCCAACTGCTCGAAACGCCAGCCGCCTTGTCCGTCAAACTGCAGCAAGTGAGTGTGGTACTTCCTGCAGTAGAAATTAAAACATTAGTAATGGCTCAGGGAACAGATGGTTCATTTTTGCACACAAATTTGGATGTCTGTGTCTCTTTTCAATGGTGCCTCTCAGGAAGTTGAGAGTTCTCCAGTTTTGGATCACTGGGTAAAACTTTTTTTCAGTGACTCATAATCCCAGGACACTCCTTTGTAAGGGATTTGGGTACTTCAAAGCCTTCCACCAGGACCTCCCTAGGCCATTTAGTGAAATTCAGCAGCAAGGTGCCAGCCATAAGCTATTATCACCGGTGTGGACTCCCCAGCTGGGGCGGTCATTGCCTCGAGCAGCCCGCTTGGCCGGGCTGGCCGAGGCCCTCACCTGCAGAGACGCTGGCAGGAGCGGGCAGCAGGGCTGTGGAGGGTCTCCTCATCATCTGCTGTCCCTGGCCAAGGTGTCAGCCTCCCTCTTTCTGCCTCCCCTTTAGAAACATTGTCTGTGGCTACAGTTGCCTTCACTGCAACTCCACCAGACTCCTTTTTCTCCAGGAGCTTGAACAGCAGCAGCAGACAAGGCTCCCTTCTCCCCCAGGAATGCTAGTCCCAATTTATTTTATTTACCTCGCTTTCTGAAAGACATTTTACCTCCTTAGCAGAAAATACATTCAGGCAGGCATGGTAAACCTGATGCTACTGATAAAACGCTGGTTTGTTCAAATTATACCTCAATTTGTTCCCCTGCATCTCATCAGGTTGGCTAAAGAAACCTCCGGTCCTAAAACATGGTTCAGTTTGCAAGGGGCCAAAATAAAAAAGTCTGTGTAGGAGTCACAGATCCTTCAGTGAGTATCAGGGTGTGTGCACCGAAAATATTCGAAGGTGTACATGTGAAGTTTGTCAAGACCTGACAAGACATTTATCAGGAGGTGCAAGAAGAAGAGCAAAGAGTTCCCCCAGAGCTGGTATGACTGTGTAATTTATCACTATAAATTATAGAAGATGAGACGCATCATAAAACAGTGATTATAAATCCCATCCAGGGAATGTGACAGTTTAATAAACTCAATAGCTTATGACATGGGACTCAAAAGAGATTCAACTCCAGGCTTACATTCACCGCTTCTTGCATATTATTCTTTGTGACAACAAATACTTAACCTATCCCTCTATTTTCCCCCCACCAAAAAACCAAAAAAATCAGGAAGCTAAGATAGCTGATTGAGATGTCCAATGTTTGTGGTCTAGGAAAGTAACCAATATTTTGTTTAAAAGAGCAAACATTTCCTGGTATAATCTTGAGGAGGAGAAAACAGCATGTGAATCCGTTTTTTGTCTGTGCAGCCCGGTCCCTGTGGAAGCATACCTAAGTTAGCGGCATTTGATGCGTATTTCTAAACACTCAGCACTTCTGTTTACTTCTCCAGAACCCCACAAATCACCAGATTTCTGATAATTTCAGTAATACTGTGGAGGTTACAGGAACAATCCCAAACCTTCCTGAATAGCACTAGCAGTAGGAAACAAAAAATGTTGGTAGGAAACTGAACTCAAAAGATCTTTCTCACAAGTTCTTTTGCATAACTTCCCTCTGCATCATCATTATTTATAGGTGAGACGCTCTCAAATACCTGTTTTCTTGAGCGGTGGTTTTAAAATAATGCCAAAGTTTAAAAAATTTAAACACTACTTTTCTTTTTAAGTGTAATTTACATTATTTTAAAAACAAATGTCTATATGACATTTTTTTCCTATCAGAATACCCATTTTTTCTTAATGTTTAGGTCCTGATCCAACAAAAGCCATTTCCACTGTCACCATCTACACAGAGGAAGGAGGAATGCTGGGGAAACCGTTCTTTTTCAGAGAAGCAGACACTGATACAATTTCTGTCCTTTGAGGCAACAGACTGGTAATGGATTTTTTGTTATCAGTTTAAAAAAAGCAAACAATCTGACGGTAGAGATCAAGAAGTTCAGAACAAACAGTTTCTGCTAATGTTAGCTTACACTTTCTTGATCTCCTTTTGCCCTTTAAAGTATTTGGTTGTTTTATGTATTCAGTAACTACATTTATTTCCTTTGAGGGACTCTTCCATACTTAGTACTCCCTCACTAGAATGATGTTTCTCAGAATTCCAGTATTTCTTTTTTTAATAGACAATCAAATTTTGAAAGCTCACAAACCCTGCAGATAGAGGACACAACTGAAGTTAAAACACCAGATGTATTATTCCTATGGAAGAACAAAGAGTAGTTTAACCACTTGCCATGTTTCCCATCTTCTCCCTGCACTGGTGAACTTCCCCAGGACAGCTCATGTATCTTGTCTCCTTTACAGAATAATCTGGTGATATCTGTTGTGGCTGTGGTGTGGTGGACTAATTAATTGCCTCTTAGATACCTGCATGTTGCTATTAATAGTTAATAACTGAAAAACATTTAAAAAAAATAAAGAGGGAGGAATAAATACGTGTCAAAGAATGAGAAAAATCAATGCTAAATGCATTTGCATCACTATTATTGTAGATAAATTATCTTAGAAAGTGCAGTAGATATTGATTAAACAACTGCCCTAGTACAAAGAATAAAGGCCAATCCACTGTCTGTCAGAAAGCTAGAAGCAAGGACCATGATAAATCCCTGCACATACTTACCAAAGAGAAGGTCTGTGTGTTATAGAAAGCAGGGATATCCCAGCAGCTTTTGCAGCTTGGAATATCTTTCCTTCAACATCAATGCTTACAGCACTCGTGCATTCATCCAGCAATGCATATTTCGGCCTTTAAAAAGCAGATAAAAAACATTACTCTTCTATGTTTTGGACAGTATTCCCACGTACGATGTTTAATTGAAAGAACAACAGAAAGGAAAGGGTTATTTTTGCCAGACAGCTGTCTCTCATCTACAGCTAGAAACTGGCTAGCAACACCATAAAGTTTCCATACATTATTCCATTCATTATTTCCAGGAAAAATGGGGTTTATTTCCTGGTCCATCTGAGTACACAGTGATCTAACTTCTATGTTCTAGTTCGACCTAGTATTATTCTGTCCTGTCATCAAGTCATGCAATAGCTACAGCCAACTCAGAAACTTTCTACCCACCGCTATGTACGGACTGGGCTGCCTTTCTGTGCTTGCAGTCTGCAAAACCAGTAAGTTTTGGAGCTTGGCTTTCAAACTCCCATAGCCTCTGCAACAGTCCATCAGACTTCTGCAATATTTGTAGGACAGATGCAGGGAAGATGTTTGTGCCTGAGATGTTAAAAAAAGGGAACATCTGGAAAATGTAATGCTATGTTGCCAAAAGCAAAGCTGAAGTAAGCAGCATTGCCCAAACTAAAAGCAGAGCTTGTATGAATAAATGACAAGGTCTGCGGTTCTATGCAACCGACTAGCAGTATTGCACATTGCATGGAGATTATAGTCTACTACTGCTCAAGCTATTGCAGCAAACCTGCAAAACCCTTCCTCATTTTCAGATGCTACTTAAAGAACAAATCAAAATGCTTACTTATGGTAAAACATCCGAGCCATGCCCATCCTTTGTTTTTCTCCTCCTGATAAGACATCTTTCCAATCCATGATAGCATCCCAGCCTTTTAAAAAAATGCAAACAAAACGCGTCAGGACAATGTAAGTTTATGAAGGAAATGCAGCTTCACTTGCAACATCTCTGCAATCTGCAACCAAAAGCATAAAGAGCATTTCCATTGCAGAAGAGACAGCTCAGGGTTCTGGATCATATCTTCTGAAATACCTCAATGCCTTTCCACTGGCACTCAATTGGAAAAATGTACCAAATATCATGTCCTTTTTGAAAGTAGAATTTAACCTTCTTGGTCATGTAGGTATTGCCAAAAAACTTTACTTACCATCTCTTTGAAAAAACATCTTTTACCTGTGTATAACTGATCATTTTATTCTGTCATGTTTGTTTTATAGAACAATTTGCTATTCCTTCTTGAAAGGTGTGAGTGGAAATTTAAAAACAAATTCAAAGAAATGAAGTGTAAAAAACATAAAGAGCAGTGCCAGACTCCACTCACTACTGTAGGCAAAGAATAACTGTCAGCAAACTCAACAGAAACAGATGCAGAGACAGGGGTGTGTTCTGTGTGCACAGACAAGCAGCTAACATACAAAACTGCATACAGACGGGAGGATTTTCTATACAAACTTCTCACTACCTCATATTTAGAAATGAACCACAACTGTTATAACACTGGGTATCCTTATTTAATATTCTGCATGGCCTCTAACTGATTTTTTTCTTTATCACTTTCAGATACATGCAACGGGAGCGTGATGCATTTTATCTGCGATCTTACAGTGGACTGGTGTTTCTGTGAGTACTCTGACGTGATTCATTGCCACTAATGAAAAACTTCAAATACCAAATTACCCTACTGAAAATAAGTTTTCAGTCAAACAATCCAGATGGATAGAGTAGCAAAATAGATGAGTTTTGAAAAGGGAGAGTGTGGATGTCGAGAAAATCTGATAAGACATTTCTCTCAATAGATCATCTTATTCATGAGACAGGCAGCTGGAGCGGGGCCGAGCGAGGAAGAGAACATTTTTCCAAATCAGCCCAGAAGCACTGTAACTAAAAAATTAACAACACAACCAAAAACCCTTTTCTGCCAAAAGAAATATTTGCCAGAAAAGACTATAAACAAGGTCAAGCAAGGAGGGTGGGCTGTGTCATTTCTGATACCTGAACAAAGGTGAGACAAGCGGGGCTTGTGAAGGTGCAGGAGGCTGGGGAGTGCTCTGCCCATGCTTGGTGCTACACCAGGGCTTGGTAGGTCTGAACAAAACCTCAGTGAAGCATCTGGCGAGAGGTTGTGTGACTGAAAACAGGAACTGATAATGCTAGAGACTGAATTCCAAGAATTTTCTGTACGTAAAATTGTAAAAATATGTCATGATTTTTTAATATGTGTGTATATAGTTAGATTTAAAAAACCAGGCATGCACACACCAGAAATACATCACCTTTAGCGATCCTATTGTTTTTCCTTAGTTTCCTTCCATTCTTGTTTAAGGATTCCAGTGGACACCCCTCTGGGGGCACTTACAGTGCTTTCTATCAACGGGTTCCTAGCAAGACGGAGTTGTGTGATCATTAACTGAATCACCATTTGGTTGAACTCTGGTAAAGGGAACAGACACACAGAGGCTGCTGCTGGTGAGCAGTGCTGGTGCTGGGACTACACAGGGAGCTGGAGTGCTGTTCCACTGACACCCTCAGCTTCCAAAAAAGACTGTAAAACACCTGGAGCGCTCCTTTTTGACAAAGGGTTCTAGGGGCAAGGGATGGGAATGGTCCTTCATGAAAGCAATAGAAACAACTATGCTGCTGAAGACAATGTTCAGGCTGCTGCTTATATTCTGTTATTTTTAAGCTGAGAACATAGACGAGCTCCAGGGATCTGGGTCTGAGGTAGGGTGTGGGTGGGTGTGCATGTGTGCACACGTGCCTGGGGAAGCAGTGCCTGCGTTCATACAGTTTCTTCCAGATCAGCTGGTTTATAAAGACTTATTAAAGACAAAAAGGGAATGAAGTTCAAGAAGAAGCATCATCTTGTCAGTAAAATCATTCTATTATTTCCTCTAAAGGTGTAAGATTTCGCCTCCGTTTACCAGGACACAATGGTCATTTCTGTGGTCACTTCAACTTACATTCTAACTGAATATTAAAAGTGCATCTTGTTTCTTCCTGCCTAGCTCCCTCCCTGACCTTTCCTATTTGCTACTTGGAATGTCTCAAACAACAGATAAGGAAGGATCCATTTTAATATTATCCCTTTTAAAAATTATTTTCTAATGCCTGAGCAATTTCCTCCTTAGGCATTGTAACTCACAATAAACTGACTCCCTACTGTGCATTAACAATAATGCACCTACTTGTTTCTCTTTTCTTCCT